TATCTGCGCAGAAACATCGAGAACACGAGCACCAGGGAAACAGTGAGTGTGCACTTTACCTTCGGCTAATGTAGCACGGACGTGCCGGACGATGGAGTCTCCGACAATCACAGAGTCACGTTCCGTCTCGCGGAGAGGAGCGAAGCGGTTCCGGGTGGAGATCTCGAAGACCGGAGGCGGCGGAGGGGGAGAGGTCGTCGCCCGGGGCCTGACTCGTGTCTTCCGCTGCGGGTGCACCCAGGGTCCGTGGTGTCCCGGCGCCGGAGTGAAGGGCATCTGGGAAGATCGCGTCCTGGGTGCACTGGGCCTGTGCAGAGAAACACACGAAGTAGAGGTGGTGGGACTGTTAGCAGCGCGCTGTATACTTACCCCAGACTTGTGAGCGTCAGCCCGGGATGTTTTCAGCGCGACTCTCCGCTCCCTCAGCTGGACCTGCTTCTTCACCAGGTCGCGAATCTGCTTCTCCACGGCCTCCAGTGTGTCCTCACCTGCACTCAAAGGTAAACAAACATCTGCCATTAAAGCAAGTAACAGTGAGTAAAACAATGGTTATGTGTGTGAATAGAGTATTAGCAATGTAAGCGAGATTAGTGGCAACCACTCTGGCGATGCTAACGGGCTATAACAGGGGTGGCGAACGTCGGTCCTGGAGAGCCGCAGCCCTGCAGAGTTTTGTTTCAACCCTAATCAAACACACCTGAACATGTTAATCAAGGCCTGAAGGGTTACTAGGAAGCTACAGGCAGGTGAGTTTTTATCAGGGTTGGAGCTGAACTCTGCAGGACTGCGGCTCTCCAGGACCGGAGTTCGCTACCCCTGGGCTATAAGCTAATAGCAGACTCGGGAAATCAAAATAGAACTAGTGATAACAAGGCGCTCTGATTGTTTTTGTTGTAGAATATGATAGAGGATATATTCACACGTTATAGAAACGAAAATGATTGGGTATAAAATTGATTTTAAGATTTAAAAAATGGACGATAAAAAATTAACTTAATAAAGCTCAAACTCAAAACACACGGTAGCAACAAACAGGAAGTGACGATTTTGACATTGATCAAACTCTGCAGGACACCGGCCCTCCAGGACCGAGTTTGGACAGCCCTGGTTTACATGTACTTGGTATTCTTTAATCTCTACTTGAAACAATCATGCTTGTTGCACACAAAAGTTCATTTTCATTTTCTTTTAGCTTTTTTCTTAAATCAGTAATCAGTAAAGAAGGTATCCATCACCGTGCCTACCTTAACTCAACCTGCTCTGCTTCTGACAACTGAGGTAGCACTTTTTTCCCCACTTTATTTCTGGGCTTGCATTTTCTTATCCTAATTCTTTTTTACTCGATGTTGTTACTCCATCCTTGATTTGCATTCATCAGTTCTGTTTTTGTCTTGTGCGCACATTCACTAACCTGAATAGCTAAACGAAGTTCTCTTTCTCATCAACAAGCTCCACCGCCGATTAGACATGCAAAATCGGCTGAAAAACAGCTGTCTGTATCGAAACAGAGGCTATTACAGACAGTTCTCAGGGTCTGCGATGACCTGTCGGGTTCGAACCAACTCCACCAGGGTCATGGTGGGCTTGGGCGAATGGGATGTCTATTCAGAACATTTGCATGGCAGACTGGTCTTCTCCATATACTTTTGCCCTGTTCTATAATCTGAACGTATTTCAGCTCACATTGCATGTCTAGTCTGAGCAAGAGGACCTATAACCATTGTGTCTTTTATTACTCTAGGAACTACTGCTTATGCAATGTTGGCTATTATTTCACTGAGCTCATTCATGTCTTCCCCTTGTGTGAAGCACCTATAGCACTCTGCAGCAGCTCTGCTAGTGGCCGGACTGTAGCACAGTGTAATTTTATATGGTCTCAATAGTGTTAGCTACTTATGCAATGTCGGGTGCACAAAAATCAAAAGGGAACATTGCCGCACCACAGGCTTAGTCCATCACATCAATGATCCTGTCACGTCAATAAAACTATCCATATAAGAATAAAAGTAGTAGCTCGACAAGAGATATATATATATATATGTGTGTGTGTGTGTGTGTGTGTGTATTACATAAAAAATCTTTACCACTTTCCAAGACATGTTTGACATATAAAAAGACAGATGACAATATGTTGTTCTGCTAAACTACTACTCATTGCTACTGGGTGTTGATTTAAGATACAACAGGGAGCGGGTCAGCTATAAAGGTCAAGAAGGTGCACTTGCAATCACCTGATAGTGGGCGAAAGTAAACAAGGCCTGATTTGACACCCAACTGAAAATCTCAGGTTTTTAGTGCCCCCATGTGGTGGAGATATAAATCATAATCCATGATCATTGTTAAGTAATAAAGTTTATTTCACTATTTGAGTACACATGATATGCAAATACATTATTCATTTAGACTCTGAATTACAAAAATATATTAAAAATATATTTCAACCTACAATTATGCAAATACAGACTAAGAATTATAATGTATTTTACATACAGTACTTTTTTTATCTGTATTTTTATAAATGCACACTGAACTCTGTTTTTTGAACCGTTTTTGTTGTCGGTAATATTGGAAAAACAAAACAATTTAGAAAATCTGTTCACCAAGGCTGCATTTATTTGATGAAAAATACAGGAAAAACGGTTATTGTAGTAGTGAAATCACTTTTCTATTTTAATATATTTTAAAATTCCATGTTAATGTTGAATTTTCAGCATCCATCACTTCAGTTCACATGATCATTCTTTAAAAAAAAAACAAATACGTATTCATATTACTGACCACATACATTTAAATGGTAGTGTGTATTTTTATCTTCTTACAAGAGATGAAGAGAAGAATCAGTTTGTAAATTAAACCCAAAATGTATTTAAAAATCACTGTGACTGTACGATACATGATCTAATTATTACAGTTTTCACTAAGGCTTGATTGCGAATCTAGTCTCAATGTGCACTTTTGCATATTGCTTAATGCTGTGAGCAAATGTATGTAGTGGATTCTGAGCATTCCTGTCTTTAAACAAGTAATGCTGTTAGTCTGGCAGGCAGTGACTCATTCACTACTTAACGTAAAACTGGTTAATCCGGATACACTGCTGCCTGTTTCCATACATGTGTATGGCCCAGGCTCTTTATAGTTATTCCTCAGTAGTTTCGGTTTCATGGCACCAGCATGCAAAGTGCAAGTCAAGTGACACTAAACCACCATGATATTGCTGGCATACGGCATTTACACAGCAGCAAATACAGACAGAACTATACCTCCACAGACTGAATGGAAGAATGCAAAAAGGAAATAATCAGAAGGCTCAGAATACATTTGATTTAAAGAAATTGTGCTGTGAATTGTGCAAAATCTGTGTCAGTAGAGTCGACAGAACTGCATAAATTGACTGGTTTCCATTCCACACATCCTCCAGTTTGTCACAGGTCGGCAGAATCTAGTGCCGCCACATACATTGATTCAATATCCAATATCTTTGGGCAGAATATTAAAACCAGCAGAGAAATTTGTTTTGAATGCGCTTTCCAGGGCAACCAACCGATGATGAATAGGTTACCTACAGTCGTCTCTGCAAATTAATCCAGGATGGGAGAAAGTTTTTTAACATCCAAATAATTACATGCTTGAGCTCTACCTTATGCAGTTTGTACATATGAAAACTCTTGATGAGTACATTGAGCATATTATATGTGTACTCTAAGAGTACATAAAGGCATTTGGATCATTTGATACTAAAACAGCATCTCAGACTTGCTCATCGAAACTCTGCTCTTGGCTCGTTTGCAGTTACATTACATTTGTAAGCAGTGGTGTCTTTTAGTAGCGGTTTACATCATCATAAGAGCTTAAATCCATATCAAAGAATTCCTCGAGTTTCCACTGCAGAGTTTCAAAGGTGGGTCTGTCTGCAGGGGAGTCCTTCCAGCATTCGGACATGATGTCATACAAATATTTTGGGCAGTTAAGAGGGCATGGCATCCTGTAGCCTTTGGGCAACTTTTGTACCACTTGAAAGTTCGTCATGGCTGGAGAAAGAGTGAAAAGCAACATTAAAATTATTCAATGCTTTGACGAGGTCAAAAACTATTGTAGTATGCGACAGTGGTAAAGAAATTGAATATTAAGTGAAGTTCAGTGAGGAAGAGCCGTAGTTCAAACTGATATTAATACAGTTTATCATTTTAATTTAAACACATTTGTTTATTTTTGTACAATAAACAATTTTTTTCTTTAGGACCCAGATTGTACAATGAACATCAACTGGCCCTATATGATAAACAGAAGGTTTATGTCAGACACACTGAAGGGCTTTTTTCCTTTTTCAAAAGAGTCAATAGCCTTGAGTTTACGTCACACCATGATTTGCTAGTTGCTATTTCAATTGGATTTGTGCCCCTGAAGGCTAGACAAATCATTAGTATTTTTTGTCTATTTTTCTCTATGCGAAAGGTGGGTACAATACGTGCAATTATGACGTACTTGGGTAAGGCATCTGTCCAAACGTCACAATTTCATACAGTAGGATCCCAAAAGACCAGACGTCAGATTTGATGGTGAATTTGTTCTCGTGGATGGCCTCGGGAGCAGTCCATTTCACTGGAAACTTGGTTCCTTCTTTGGCCTCATAAACATTCTCATTTTCCATCTAAAGAAATCATGCAGTGAGATTAAAAGTACAGTTTTTGTATTTTTTATACAAAATCAGTGCATACATTATAGCAGTGGTTCTCAGCTGGTTTGCTTCAGAACATGGTGATTTATCGTAAATAATTCAATAATACAATGTATTAATATTACAATGAATTGAATAGACCCGACAGCATGCAAATTTATTGATATGACAAAGACTGAATAGGGAAATTGTCCGTTTTGTAAATGAATAAACAATAGAAGTTTGGATAAACACTGGGGCAAATATTAAAAAGACTGACCGAATACACACAACCTTTGATGTTGGTAAGGTTATAAATTTTCGTTGCATTTTATTCTTTGCATTTACCATGCATTTTTATTTTCTATACTCTCCGTGACACTATCGTGACAGATCTGTGACTCATTTTTGGGTTGCGACCCATTTGAGAACCACTGCCTCATAGCTGAGGGGTCAAGCCTTTTTATAAAAACGGAGAATATTTCTCACCTGAAATACTCGTGCCAAGCCAAAGTCGGCCACCTTGCACACATTGTTATCTCCCACCAGAACGTTTCGTGCCGCAAGATCTCTGTGAATGTAGTTCTGCAACTCAAGGTATGCCATGCCAGATGTCACTTGTGCTCCCATTTCTATCTGATCAGACATTTGCAGAGAAGCACCTTTGTCTTCTGTATGAGTGAGACAGAATATAGGGAATAAATAGAAATGACACATCTTACATGTTTTAATTATGACGCACTGATAAATTAAGTGGGCTACAGACCCTCCATCAACAGGTTTGTCTTGAATATGTGTAAATCAGTTTGACATTAATGTGGGTCATAACTTCAGCAGCACAGCCAGAGAGAACAGCCACACAAACTTTGCATGCTTCTGTAGTCAGTTATTGAAACAACTTAAAATGTAAATATTTGATAGTGCAAAAGATATGACATGACATGATATGACACGTAGTGTATGTAAAATTGATATTTTATTACAGTTTCAGAATAAGCTAACCTCAAAAACCTATGGTTTATGTGGTAAATATGATATCCTACTAAATATGTACACAATAAGGTGCCACATTTTTGGAACTGATGAAGGATATTGTGGGGGAATGGGATCTTGCACAACACTGGCCCTGATTATCTCTCTAAATAAGCTGCTGACACCAGGAGGAAAAGGTCCTGGGAAATGAGGCAGTTGAAGCATTCTTTCTATGGGTGAAAGCCTGATAGGGTTGGATGAATGGCCCCAACTGCCGACAGAAATCCCTCCAGAATTGGAAACTTTTAAACACCCTGTTGGGAAATGATTTTAAACCCAAATAGGCTGATTGATGTATGCCTTTTAAAAACCATATTTATTAATCATGAATCTCACTAAAATCTTAATGATGGTATTCCAGACTTCTTCCCTTGCCTCAGTGTTCAAACAGTTTTTACACCTTTTGACTCGAGGCCAATTCACACCGCGCCGACAGAAGCAGACCAACGCCATCAGCTGACAGATACAATACGTCACTTCTCAGACGTTCCAAGACCAACAAACACGGATTCAACATGTTCAATTGATAGTTTTCACGTGACGTCACACCCTTACAGGAACGCCCACATGGAGGGCAAAACAAGGCTTTCCTCAACTGACTGCCAGTTATTTTTAGGAGGATTGCATTTAGTGGTAATGTAGTAAAGCCAAATTTGGTATACACCTTATTGATGATGCATACTTTGTACAGGCAAGCAGATGAACCCAGAATATAAACGCAATGCGCAAAGTTTAATATTAAATGTTTTCCCATAGAAAACCATTATAAAGAAGACGCTTAACTATTTAGCGCATTGCGTTCATATTCCGGGCTCGTTTGCTTGCCTGCATATAGCATGCATCATCAATAAGGTATGTACTAATTTCATCTTTTAATATCACTTTTAAGGGCACTTTAAAGGGGTGATATGATGCTATTTTAAAGATCATTATTTTGTGTATTTGGTGTAACAGAATATGTTGACATGCTTTAATGTTCAAAAAACACATTATTTTTCAAATACTGTACATTATTGTAGGTCCTCTATGCCCCGCCTCTCTCAAACACGTCGTTTTCAACAAAGCCCCCTCCTTAGAATGTACCGCCGTTTTTAGTGATTTAAATATTGCGACAGGTGCTTTATATGGATTGCTAATGGCCAAAACTTGCATTTTGTTCACATATCTTTGTTTTATTCTTTTGAGAGGTAATCTAAATACTTTTGGATTTGAACAGATAGAAAATTGACGGGCTTGTGCTGCAGTTCTATGGATGTTTAACCCGCCAGGTCTTCGAACCAGTCACGTGACTGAAAACTATCAATAGTCAAAATCAATGACAACAGACACACACAGACAAAACCCGATGAACGTTGTCGGTGCAGAGTAAACTGGCATTTACAGTTGCGGTCATAACCTTTCAGCAAATCTGCAAAATGTTAATATTATTAAAAAATTAAAAACAAATAATTTGACAAAATAAGAGGGCTCATAGAAATTGCATGCGTTTTTTTATTTAGTACTTCCCTGAATAATTGTCACGAATCCTGTCCATGGACTTCCGTTCAATCACCACCAGAGGTTATTCTCCCATTACATTGACTCTCACACCACACAGACTGTTACACATCACCCTGGACTGCATTTCCCATCAACCATTGCACTGATTACACGCACACAGCTGAATGCACTGATCACACACACAGCTGAATCCAATCAGACAGAAAAAGAAGAAGAGAAGAAACCTCTAGTGGCAATCGGCCTGAAGCCCACGGAGCGGGTTCGTGACAATAATATATCAGATAACAGATGTTTATATATACAGAAGGCCACAAGACAAAATAATAGCTGAATTTTGTGTAAACTTCTGAAAAGAATGAAGAATGTGTCAATCTTTCTTATTTTATTTAAAGATCATATTGTTTTAATTTACTACAGCCCTTCAGAAGCTAATGCATTTTTATGATCCCTCTTTTGTTATAAATATTAACATTTTGCTCATTCTGCAAGGTATACTGTACTGGATATTAAACTTTACTGTAATGACCACAACTGCATGATACCATACCACTAAATGCATTTATGACTTACTTTTAAAATGTGGCAATAAGGAAGCATAATAGCCTGTGAAAACAAGGCTCTCTCCTTCCCGCTCTCAATCTCTTTTTGTCCCTGTCCCGAAATGACCCCATATGCAATGAAAGCAGTGATTTACAGTAATTTTATTACAGGTAGTTTTAGAAGCTGTTTTCCAAGAAAAGGATATGTGGTCCTATTAAAAACTTGTTTGTTTAAGCGTCCTGGCCAGCCACACACAGAAAGGATTGTGTTGTTTAAGTTTTGGAAATTATTAGGCATGTAACCTAGGTAAAAAATGAAACTAAAAAATTGAACCGTAAGCACTTGCACCACGGTTCAACTTAAATCTGACAACGCATCTGTAAAATGGTTTGTTAAAATTAACAGCACATAAAACAGTTTGGCTAATGTATGTTTCTGTCGATGGGTATGCATTCTGGCTTCCCAATACATTACAACAACAGTGATGAAAGAAAGAAAGAAAAAAAAAACCGTGGACAAACCTGTCACTCTTTGTTCAATGCGAGTGCCGTATGCTGGATTATGAGCAGTCATTTATGCCGTCATCACCCGGGTGTTGATAGCGAGACCTGAACAGCACACGTTGCTATCTGTGTTTATACTAAACTCATTTAAGCCTTGCCAGTTTAAATATTAAAGAGCCAGAAGACGCGAATGAGAACTCGCGTGCGCCGTGAGAAGATCTGTGTGCGCGCAAACCTGCATCTCAGAACGCGCTCAAATATTGAGTTTGTTTTCAAGTCGTGCTTGAAAGGACAAATTTACACAAAAATTATGCCAAAATGCCTGTCCTGGCAGACATAGTCAGTTGAACGTACAGTATGAGTGCACTGGATCTGTGCATTGTCTTAAAGTGACAGCACTTTTTTAATGTTAAACAAACAACAAAAGACAATGAAATCCCTCACTGCGCTTGATTGAATAGCTTTTGTAATTTTAATAAAGATTAATCTTTAATTTATAGTCAAATATGCAATGTTATTTTACATTTGATTACTTTATTCAATTTCTGTACCTAAAAACTGTTAGACCTACCTAAAAAAAAACCTGAAAAGCACTGTTTATTTTATGCGTTCTGTTGCTTGTAATTAGATTATTTGTTCTTTTTTTTATTTTTTTTTATTTGACAATATAGTCCTTTTTTCCCTAAACATAGCAAATGCCGAACTGTACCGAAACCGTGATACAAACCAAACCGTGAGTAACTTGAACCGTTACACCCCTAGAAGTTATTGTCTGACCACTGGCAGTATTCAAGAAACACCTGTTTTAACAAACAGTGTGGCTTGTTATTTCTATAATATGACTGCAACAGCAAATGTTAATAATAAATCATGAAATGTAATATCCATAATAGTTCTCCCATGTAATCAACATCACAGCTGCTGCCATTAACTAACTGTGAAAACTATTGATTTCAACCTTTCCTTTTGCTCTGCTCCAGTTGTTATATCGCTTTCTTGTGTACAAAAGTTTTGTTTTTAATGCTGCTAAAAAGCTTCTCAGCTTGTTTTGGATGTGTACTGTACAAGCATCTAGATGCGCCACATAAAATATGTATTTTAATGTAAATTCTCTTAATCAAAATCAATAATCAAGAAACACCTGTTTTAACAAACAGTGTGGCTTGTTATTTCTATAATATGACTGCAACAGCAAATGTTAATAATAAATCATGAAATGTAATAGCCATAATAGTTCTCCCATGTAATCAACATCACAGCTGCTGCCATTAACTAACTGTGAAAACTATTGATTTCAACCTTTCCTTTTGCTCTGCTCCAGTTGTTATATCACTTTCTTGTGTACAAAAGTTTTGTTTTTAATGCTGCTAAAAAGCTTCTCAGCTTGTTTTGGATGTGTACTGTACAAGCATCTGGTATACAGATGCGCCACATAAAATATGTATTTTAATGTAAATTCTCTTAATCAAAATCAATAACCTTGATTACAATGTCAAAGGAAAAACCTGACATAATTGTGTTTGTTGTCTTACTTTGCAGATATTCTTGAAGGCTCCCGTTGCTCATGAGCTCCGTGATGATGTAGATGGGCTCTTCCGTAGTGCAGACAGCATAGAGCTGGATCAGTTTGGGATGACGGAGTTTCTTCATGATCTGAGCTTCTCGCAGGAAGTCTTTTGGATCCATAGTTCCTATCAAACATACAACAGACATACAGTATAGCATGCCATGTGCATGTATGTTTGGAGTTGTATGTCTTTCATATGTGTATCCATCTTGTCTCTGTTTGTTTGTGTACCTGGCTTGAGTGTTTTGACAGCGACGGCTGTTCTGTCATTCCATATGCCTTCAAAGACCTCGCCAAACTGCCCTGCTCCCAACTTCTTCAAGAGTTTTAAAGAGGAACGCGAGATCTCCCAATGGTCCACAGTGTTGTAAGATAGGCCATGTGTCTCTGGAGCCATTGTCTAATACCCACACACACAAAAGCAAGGACATATGTATTGGATTGAATATTTCTGTGGAATACTATTGTAATCGGTCAGTTGCTGTATTCTGCTGTCAAAAGATTTTTCTATAATTTCAATATTGTCTCACATTCTTTGAACAAAATCAAATAATTTCGAATTAAAATGTCATGCCATTTTATTATTGTTGTAAAATAAAATAAAAATTATTGAAGTAATAGAAAATGTTACACACTTTTTTGCAGGGCTCTGCCAAACAAACACAGAGGCCATCCTCATTTCTGGAGTAGTGCTCCACTAGTTCTCTCAGTGTGAAAAAACTACGAGTCTTTGACACGAAGTAGCCACCATTGTCCAGCTTTCTGATCTTATAATGCTTCACTTTTCCGTTGTCCAGCACTGCAATACAGACAGACAGCACATCAGGGACCTCAATCATGATGAAAGGTGGGCTAATAAGTAAGAAAACAAATCCATTTTCCACCACTGAGTGGTAACAGTACCAGCAGCATCTCCATTAGAATGTGGTTTGGTAAGGTACGATTGCAAACATGGACAGATATCTCATCATGGTTAATGAACTGTGCTCTGGACAGGAGAAATACATTGAAAAAATGGTAACCTAAAAATATACTTCATGTGGTAACATCTAAATAAAGTGATTTTATTCAAATAAAAAAAAAGTTACTTAAGCATTATTGAATCAACCTAAATATATTAGGTTACACCAACAAAACTAAATGTTAGAGTAAGATCAGGTAGAAATAGCTCTTTAATGTAACAATTGCAGGTTACCACTTTTTACAGTGTAATGGAACGGCTTTAAAGTGACCCAGGATTGGTCACATACATTCTGATTTTGATGAAAAAAAATTGTGTCAGCAAGCCTGGATCGGTACAGAAATTTACAATATGTATCATCTTACATTTTATACACATTTTTTGAATCAGAGTTTTTGAACAAATCAATGATTCAATAATCCATTCATAAAGACAATCACTTGAATCGCTTTGTTCATGAATGAATCAGCCGTTTGAATGAATCGGTTGAGTGACTCACTCAATCAAGACTTGCCTCCACCTACTGCCAACTAGTTTTGGTTTCATATTTAAAGTAATTTTTATCTTTTTTTTATTTTAGGAAGTTAGGACAAAAATGTTAGAAAGAATTGCCTCTATAAAGGTAAAAATGCCTCTGGAAATCAATTCAAGGTGGCCAATATGGACCCTTATTGAAAACATTCATTTTTGTCACTGCTGTAAACGAACCATTGCGGATTCAGAATATGAAGAATACGAAAAGCTTTGGGAGTCAGGCTGTCCACAACAGGCCTAATCCAGTAAAGGTACCAGCACAAAAACACACTCAACAAAATATTGTCTAATTATCATTATTGACAAAATCCCATAAAATATTATCAATATAGCACACCCCTAATAGTGTAAAAGTAAGCGTTCAGCCTGATAGTGGAAAAGCACTTTTAGACTTAGATTAGTAATAATTACCTTTATTGTATAACCACAGTATGCCTGTTCTAAACCACATACAGTAGGTCAGAATACCAGTAGGTCTAGTTTTCAAACTTTTTTAGATGGCGAACAACTTGAAAAAGTACAACCAAGTACCATAAAACAATTGCCTAGAGTTTTAAGTGGTATACAAACCACGCTTAGTCTACTTCTTTGAAATGATCTCTTTTACTGCCGGTTCCTGAGAATGCCACAACATAAGATTTTGTATTCATCCTTTCCAAATTTCATCCAAGAACAAAGTGCAAACCATCAAATTTGGAAAAATAGTGACAATATTTTATTGCTGGACTGAGGAATTAGGCTGAGTCTGTGCTCTTTGTGTAGTTTAAGACCGCTCTGTGATACAGGGAGTGGCACTGAAATCGTAGGGCACAGTCTAGTGTCAATGAGCTGGTGAGTAATCAACTACTCTCAGTCACATGCTGGCTGACGACAGTGGCTGTTGCTATAACCAGGCACCCTGACCAGAGTCCTCATCAAGAGTTTACTTCTCATGATCTTCAAATGTCAATCATGACTCTAAAACTCTGGAATGAGGAAACATGTTTATCTTTTTTGTTACTAATCAGGAAGCTGACACACCGGCCTTGGTTAAAAAAAATAATTATTCTTTAAAGGGGTCATATGATGCGTTTTCAAGTTTTCCTTTCTCTTCTGCATAAAGAAGATCTGTAAATTTGCAAAGACTAAAGTCTCAAATCCAAAGAGATATTCTTTATAAAAGTTAAGAGTTAATCACGCCTACCTAAAACGGCTCGTTCTAACACTTCCCCACATGTCTACCTCACTATGTGGGAAGATTTGCATAACGCCGCCCAACGCAAAGAAAGAAGGAGTAACTTTTATTCTCACTGTAGTATTGCTGCCACTGCCGCCATGTCGTGAAGACGCTGTGTGCTTCGTTGTGAAAGCGAAACTACTTTGTTTGGTCTTCCAAAAGAGGACGATATCCGCTTCGTCATGCCTAGAGCTGATCCGTGCTGGTCGCTGAGGGAATACATCAACTTAGTGCTGTGGATCGCCAGATCGACTTTCACCGTGGACGAAGCGGAGTCCAGCCCGGGGTCGTCACATGTGGTTGCCGCTCCTTCGTCGGATCCGTCAGCCGCGTCGTTCTCAACCTAGCCTCTGCTCACTCTAGCCCGGCCTCAGCTCACGCTAGGCCGCCGTGTTTTTCGTTGTGAAAGCGAAACTACTTTGTTTGGTCATCCAAAAGAGGACACGACTACAAATCAGTGGTTAAGTTGTATTTACAACACTGTTCCAGAACAGTGTAACCCAAATATCCAGATGTTATGGAGGACTGTTTACTGATCCTGGTAGAGTAGACTACAATGCCGGCTGTTCTGACTGTAAGTACGTTTTCATTTAAAGGATTTGCCACTGATGATTCAAGCGTGAGTTTTGGGCAGTGTAGAGTAGCGCTTGTTGTTTGTCATTTCTCCGATCACAAATGCAGACATGGTTTTATGTTTATGCGGCGCAACGCAACGCAACGCAACGCGTAAAAAGACAGTATAAGTCATTATAATCAGTAATTATGTCCCCACTGGATGCAACAAATGCCTCGTTTGTAATGGGTTTTAATGTTTTTGTCTCGTTGCTCCGGCCGGACACGGCATCAACAGTATGGTGAGGGGCGTAACATTTCTGTCACACGCTTGAGGTATTCGGCCAATCACAACGCACTGGATAGCTGGCCAATCACAGCACACCTCGCTTTTTCAGACCGATGAGTTTTGTAAAAATCGACGCGTTTCAAAAAGGCGGGGCATAGAGGAGAAACAATAATGTACAGTATATGGAAAATAATGTGTTTTTTTTACTTTAAACCGCATAAACACATTTCATTACACCAAGTACACAAAGTAATGTTATTTTTAGCAGCATCATATAACCCCTTTAACATTTTCTTTAACTTCAGTTGTGCTTTTGATGACAGCTAAATGTAACGTCACATCCGCATTTTAGCATTAAAAATGCAAACCACTGACTGGAGTAACACTCATACTGGTTACATGAATGAAAATAATGATAAACAAATGATAATGAGTCCTTACATAGCCAGAAAATACAACAGATCATGTGACCATAACCAACAAGTTCTGCAAGTTTCAGTCCTGAGAAACACACAAGTATGTTGTATATACTTGCACTGCATAGATAAAGATACCAATCTTTCAAGTCACTATACTTGTGACGTAAGCCAAATGATGTCAAACTTTGACAAAACATCTTCTGATCTGAGAGCAATAGACCTTTTAGAGATTTTCTTGTTTTAATTTGACGTCAAATGTAGCTACCTGAGAGTGAAAGCTCCCCTTGCTGGCTTTCACAGTTTCTGATTAGAAAAGCTCCATTCTTGTTCTCTTGAGACGTCAACATCTTCTCAGCCTCCAAGCGCTTTGTTTCTGGAAAATACCATCTGTAGTGGAAGAGCAGCACAATGTTATTTGATCTAAATATTAACCAGTATTAGAGGTCAGCCTAGTGTTGGTTAGGTCATTTACAAAAAAAAATGTTTCCCAATTCAGCGAATGTCATGTTAAGAATTTTGCATATATCGTTGGGCCTCTGCAGTTCATAATAATGTCAATACATTACAGTGTTCGGTGTTAAAGGTGTTTTAGTTTACTTCTGTAGTATTTACTAATGTGTTGGTAACCACTTTATCATTTCAGTGGTAATACCAGTACAATATCATGGGTTCTGAACTTCTGAAGCAAAAACAGCTGAGAACCACCAGGGAAGTCTAGGGTCCATGTCTGGATAACAATTGAGTATGTTCAAACAAAGACTACTAAACTCTTATAATAAACTAACCTTTGGTTTCCTCAGTGTTTATGACTGTTGACACATACACACTGCTTATGCAGAGACCTTGTGTCCACTAGGTTATGTCTAAATCTTCCAACACAGAGATCATACATGTACAGATGAAGATTTGCTGACACATGATGCCGTCACACCAGCAATACAATGAACTGTAATCAAGTCTTCTCAAATGGCTACATCTGACTACAAAGTATGTCAAAACGCTACAAAACATTCACACTCAAGCACATTGTGCACTGTAGTTGGCGACAGACCTGGAAAAACTGGAAAGTTATCTCTAACAAAGTCAGAAACTATTCAGCGCGCCAAAGTGACATACAAAGCCTAGTGGCTTTAAGTCAGAGATAATATCACACATTACAGCAGTTGATCATCATCAGAGTTACGGGGTCTACCTCTGACCCCTTTACTTAATTACACTTCCAGCAGGTGTCAAATTTATATAAAAAAAAATTGATTTTATATTTTTATACTATATTTCTTTTTTATCGATGTATGGCACCTATAGCGCACAAAGCCAAGGAATCATTAACAGGCTCATACTGTACTTCCTGGTTGACCAATGAACATTAACCAGCTTCCCTTCAGAAACAACAGATAATACAGAGACAGAATCTGTCGCCAGCTGCTGCCAGGAATCCTCATAATATCCATCTTGCTGAAAGCAGAGCTTCACAATTAGGGGTCCGTCTATGCACGCAGTACAATACATTGTTATACAGTTAGTGGACTTCAGTTATCAGTACTGTACTGGTGGTGTAAATTCAAAAATGATGACTTATCTCTGTCTGATGTGATGACTATCTGTGATTTTCAGGAAGAGCAGGGGTTCTGGTAAATATAGCCCATCATTTTCAAGCTTAGGTGTGTTGAGAAAGAAGGATGTTGGGAGATAATTCCCGACTATAAATAATTCAGGGAATCCTTTCTAACCAAACCACACTAATGCGATCCTCTGTTCCCAATTAATCCATTCTTTTAAAAGAAATATATTATTTGCATACCATCACTACTGATATACATATACAATTCCTTTAAAGATGTGCTTTACTTTTCAGGGCACAGAAACTTACGGTTCAGCGTCGAGGCTTTCTATGGGCGCAACATAATTAGCAGGAATGTAGCCCTCTTTGTTCGCTGAAATCCCGGTGATTCCTCTCGCGTACCACCAGTCGTCCTCTTTGCGGAGTGGCTCCAGTTTGTCCCCTGCGTTAAAGCTCAAATCATGCTCCGTGCGCGCCGTGTAGTCGTACAGCGCAACGTAAACGTAGCCGGGTTTCTCCACAGGTGGCGGAGGTAATGTCATGTTGGCCCTTCTCGCAGCGTCTTCGTTTACAATCACTTTAATATCCCGTTTCTCGGTGCCAGATGAGGTGTTATTCGCCGGGTCCCTGAAACACGGGAAAGTACTTTGACAGCACATTATGAACCTCTCTCTGAAATCCTCCATCCTGAAGTTGTTCACCAGTCCCTTATGTTTATATCAGGTTAAAATGAAGCGGTATATCGCATTTCAGTGATCCATAGGGTTTATTTCATTCCAGTAAATTATAGACCAAGCGTGCCGTCCATTCTGTGAGCTTGTGAAACCCCTGGGAGCGGTGACACGAGATAGCACAGCCTTCCCTGTCGACAGTAAAGCAGGCGATTTATTGCTTGCAGTCAAAAATCTGTTCGCATTTCCTGGTCACATTCCCCTGACAAAGTTCAAGATAATTCCCCGCACCTCGGTCCAGTCATTGCCATTTTACAGATACGTGTCTGAAGAGAATGTTGAATGTTTTAGACGAGCTCGTCGTTGCAAAGAGCATTTACAAAAACTGGATTCTGAAACGGGTTTGTTTCTTCGATACGCCCTCGGGCCAGGACACCCTAAAGCTGGTCACATTTAAATCCAAACTGGATCCAGTCCAGCTAGTAAACTAAATGAAAACACTAAAGAATAAAGAAGAGGGGAAACCCCTAAATTGAATCTAATGCCAAAAGCAGACTCTTTCAAACATTGTTTACCAATTTGTACAACTTTACTGTAAAAATCTGGGATTTCTTGTAAGACAAACAAGGAAGAGAATTAGATATAGGGAAACCATTTTAGGCAAACAACGTCAATTTATGGAGTCATCCTTAGGAACAAAAATGTGGGAATATACTGCATAATATAATGCAATATATTAGTACTATTCCATATACGGGAAACTAGTGCTAATATTTTTCAATATGCTGCAATGTATGTATTGACCATGTATGGCTATATATTGATACAAATACAAATATTTAGAAATGAAGACAAAAATAGCATTACATGTAATATTCATAAAGCTATATAAAACTTCATGAATATTTACATACAATTTTTTTTTACTTTTATTGAACTTGTATACATATATACACACATTCACGGAATGAGTTACATCAGTCTTTCTAGACTTTCTAGTAAAGGAGAGTAAATGTTCAAATTAAATGTTATTTCATGTGTTTTTGCTCAATGTTAATATATCTGTTAGTGTTTAATGTTCGATTATTTTGGAGTTTAAAAGGGTTTTTGGTGTGTCTGAGTTTTTGGGGTTTACCGTTGTGCTGAAAAGTAGACGGTTAGGTTGACGATTGGCCCAACACCATTAAGACAAAAAATGTTAGTGTGAAATTACAGTACATTCCAGGTTAATAGTTGCATTACTTACACAGTAATTTCACAGTGGGACTTCTCTTGTCTCTAACTGCACTCTCAGAAATGTCTTGTGAACAAACAGCATCATACTGTGTTTCTACGGTGCACGTGTACTATGAAAGCACCCAGCATGCAATGCAGCATGAATAGATCATGCTGTAGAGTTTTTAATTCTTGGTTTTATTTGTGCTATAACTCGTTTTTGGTTCACTTTTAGGAGTTTGTATTGTTTATTTTATAATGTTGGTTTATGTTGTAAGTGTTGTTTTTATTTGTTGAGTGTTAATGTCACATCTTTCAAAGACGTTCCTCAGCAGTTGCTTCATTATTGTGAAAGAACCATCCACAAACAGTTATGAATATGAAATAAGTTATTGATTAATCTTCATGCTTAAATAATGCTAAAACAAAATATTCATGTTAATGTTAAGAATGATTCGACTAACTTAAAGTCAAGTAATTCGCTTATTTCATATTTTAGCTTGCCATCATTTTGACAAATGCTTTTTTTTGTCACGCTTCTGACATGACTAGATCAGAAATTTTTTTCACAACGAAACAGCATCACACACGGCGACCTACAGTGAGCAGAAGCCGGGGGTTAGCGTGAGGAACAGCGGGAGGGTTAGAGTGAGCAGAGGCGGGTGGGCTTGAGAACGGCGCGGCCGGCGATTTCGAAGAAGGAGCATCCGGAAGGACATGTGACGACTCCAGGCTGGACTTGTCCACGGTGAAAGCCGATCCGGCGATCCACAGCGAAGTTGTAGCATTTCCTCAGCGACCAGCACGGATCAGCTCCAGGCATGATGAAGCAGATATCGTCCTCTTTTGGAAGACCAAACAAAGTAGTTTCGCTTTCACAACGAAGCACACAGCGTCTTTACGACATGGCAGCGGCGGAAACAACAAAACTACAGTGATAGTAAAAGTTACGCCTTCTTTCTTTGCGTGAACATTTGGGCGGCGTTATGCAAATCTTCCCACATAGTGAGGTAGACATGTGGGGGCGTGTTAGAACGAGCCATTTTAGGTAGGCGTGGTTGACTCTTAACTTTTATAAAGAATATCTCTTTGGATTTGAGACTTTAGTCTTTGCAACTTTACAGATCTTCTTTATGCACCAAGAGCTTGTAACACTCCAAAGAGAAAGAAACAATTGAAATCGCATTATATGACCCCTTTAAGACTGCCCCACCTCAGTGGTAATGGTACTGAAACAAATCGACATACCTTATTTAGGGTTTTCTGAGTAACAAAAGCATAGTACCCATAGTAGCCTACAAATTAGTTATTTGTTCTCTCAAAGGAATAGTATACGAAGTAATATAAATAAGCTGCTTTTACAAAAAGATCTGGCTACTGTCACCAGCAACACCAGATCCTCCAGCTCTACCTTCATGTTCTACCTGTTCATCGAATCCATCCCAGTCATCTGCCATCATCTTCTGTCTTCTTCCCAGCACGTTGTCTCAGCCTCACTCTGCAAAGAAACCTTGTGACTGTTCAGCTAAGTCTTTCAAGATGATCAGCTCATTATCTCACCTGCGATCATCGCTTGCTCCTCTCCTGAAGCCTGTAACAAAGCTCTGTGAGACTGAGATGCACTCTGAGAGTCAGTGGTAGGTCTCATTGTGACTGAGAGTAAGTAAAGAGAATGATTAAAGACTACTCAAAAGATTTTTTTTGGTAACTGAAACTTCTGTTTAACTTGATTTATTTAGTGACAGCAGTATTCTGGACTCTGGATTGCTGAGCTAATTTGAACTTGTACTAATACTCACATTTTCTGGTTTCCTATACAAACACAAGTTATCTATACAACGTTGTATTAAACTTTATTAACTCAGAAATTATTAACTAGGCTATCAGTTAAAATACATTTATTGCAATTTACAGTGATATTGTAGAGACTTTATGGGGACGTTAACAGCATGTTTAGCACACAAACAGACATTTAAAGTGTAATTTGAAAAATATGTAAAAGCTATTTAAGATTTAAGCAGTTTTAGACTGGGATTTTCTGTGTAATAAGATTATTTTACTGTTCCAATTTGGTCATACAAAGTTGACATGTGGCACGGTAGGCAACAGACGAGTTCTCTTATCTGCCCTTGGTTAACACAGATGGCTTTATGTATGACTCTTTATGTTCTCATACTTTCCCATATTTGTGACACTTCACTTGTGATCACTGTCAAATTTGCAATAAGTAGCTGTTTGCTGCATTTGTGGCTCACCAGTGCCCTCTGATGGAACTTATTCTCTGCAGCGATCTCAGTTTTGTCATATGTTCTATGATATCTTCCCCCCATTGACACATTAAACTCCCTAGATGTCTGACAGAAATAAAGTCTGTCTGGGGTGCATTTCCCAAAAGCAACTATGGTTGCAAGTTCCGTCGTTACCAATACATTTCAATGGAACTAAGTACCATAGTTAGCTAACGATGCTTTTGGGAAACGCATCCCTGGTTAGTAATGAGTGAAGCTGGTGCTGTTGTTTGTGGAGTTGTTTAATTATCCTCTGCTGAGATCTTCAGAGATTTAATGTTTGACTTGCAGTTGATTTTACCAAATGCTCAATCATCTATTTGATCATTCATCTCGTGAACTTCAACTACTTCAGTGTTTCTTTTAACATTGTGTGCAGTATTCACTGAGGATTGTGCTGTGTATGTTGTACATTTCAGCATCTATCCAAACAGAGTTTTGTATCGGTAAATGTTTTATTAGTATTATTATTATTATTTTATTTTATATACACAATCATGAAAAAAGTTTTGTAATTTTTTATTTATTATTATTCCACAAGTGTCAATAGTTTCTGTCTGTGGCATAAGTGGCTCATTGGGAAATGCTGTTTCCTCACAGCAAGAAGGTCTCTGGTTCAAGACCCAGCTGAGCCAGGGAGTCTTTCCTTCCGATCTAGTATCACTCACAATCTAAAGATGTATGATTTCAGATGCTTAACTGTCTAAAGGTGTGACTGTGTGTTTTACTACTGATCCGTGGCTGAGTTGTTGTTGTTTTTTTTTTGCTTTTTTATGGCTCAGTTTTGGGGTTTCTGGTTAAAGACTGTTCTCTATATGGTTTACTGAAGGCTGAGTTTGGCTAGCACTATTAAAACTTGTTCTGGCCCAGTTCAGGGCTGGTTATAAGTTATTATTTGGCTGAGATTTGGGCCAGTTATGGCTAATGTCTAGTCCAGATCTGGCCCAAACAAGGGCCGTAATTCTTTGCTGCATGTGGGCCAAGTGTAACTGGTTGTTTGGCCCAGAGCTGGGCCAGATGACAATTGCTATGTGGCAGCTCAAACCAGCAAAAGGACCAGCATCCCAGCATCAAAACATACCTAACCGGCATATGCTGGTTTTTTCAACAGGGTTATTAATGAGAATAATGATTTGCAGCGTCTCCCAGGCATGACAATGTTCAATAATTAAAAGTGACCCTGTCTCTGTCCATTTTCTTCGCGTTATTACGGTAACAGCACCCGGAAATGCGCGAATATTCAGATATTCTTACGTTCGTACAAGTATGATACAAAGATCCGTGTTGTTCATATGCAGTGCTATAACCGGCACCGTAGTATTTCCGCGAGAAATGCCGAAAGACGTTCTGCGGATGCCTGCGCTTTCGCTGTAACCGTCTCCGTAGAAACGCGGCTTGTAGTCTTTTGTGACATTGTTGTCGCCGCTATCCCACGTGTTGCAGAAGAGACAAATACATTGCAGACTCCCGCCACCGAGCGAGCCGCATCGACAGCTTGAAGTCATCGCTGTCACTGCACGCTATTGCGATTCTGTAGTCTTTACAGTTCACATCTCCCATTCCGTCCAAAGGCTATACAATGAGTGAATACTTCTCGCTGTCGGAGTGTGATGTAATTGGCTTTGATTTGGACCACACGCTCTGTCGATACAATTTGAAGGAGACCTCCAGGGTGAGTCGCACTGGCATCATATGCATATCATGACACAACCGACCTCAGACGCATTATAATAGGACTTACACAATGGTTATCATGAATCAGAAATACAAGATTGGTTCTGTCTGCTTTACATCAATGGACCTGAAGCGGAACAATGTTGATGCGCTAATCTAAACGATCGATCTATTCGGCAGGCCTTGCTGTGAGAACACAGTGAGAATGCGAGAGGTGTGTCTCCTTTATCTGTCATCATTATCTGAGGATGTTCATGCAAACCCCATTTGCCCTGATTTCATCTGATGTGTAGCTTATGGGCAGCTAGATAAAGCCTAGCTCGAGATGAAGCTTCATTTATGGTTAGGCCTGACATCTTCATGTCACTGCACTGTACCTCCACGTAGTACTTACATTTATTTCTTCTTCTGTTTCTGTGCAGCTGATCTATGAGAGTTTTGCACGGTATCTGGTGGAACACAAGGGCTATGATAAAGATCTGCTTCTTTTAACACCCGCTACTTGGGACTTCTGGTGAGTTTTATTAATAAAATTGAGAATACTTGCATGGAAACAGATTCATCGTGACCGATGCCCATATATACTCAAAACAAACTGATGCTGATGCTGAAAAACCATGGTAGCAGTTAGTGCCGTTAATCGTTCTTTAATAAATAGTTAAATCATTATACAGTATTAAATAACTATTAACAGCATAGGCGGAGGGTGAACCAATAAGGCTAAAAGCAGCCAAATGTATTAAACATCATAAACCCGTCTTTTTAGGCAAGAACCAGACATGGGTGTCGGCTAAAAAAAAGTTTAATGGGATTGAATTGGTATTTAACATGATTACAAATGAATAAAAACGTTAGAAATGGATAATTGTGTAACGTTTCCTTTCCACGGTTATTCGAACCGCGAATAAATTATATATAGCAAGTGACATTATCACTAACATTGATCTATCGCTGGGTTTAAGCACTCTCAAAAAAACAAAACTGTCGTTATAATCAATGAAGCTGTGTACACCGTTAAATGAATCTCTTACTTGCATTGTACGTACATCTGCGCGTTGTTGTTTATGATGAGAGAATTCGCAAGAGTCCGGAATTCAGTCAGCTAATGCGCGCGCACTCACAAAAGTGATCTGTTTCAACGACGACTCGTCTGAATGCCTCTGATTGGCCATTGCATTCCTAAACTCAACAGATATATGTGTGATTGGTTAAAATGCGCAACACTGTAAAAACGCCTCAAATGAAATAGTGCAACATGAGCAGATCTTAATTTAATGCCGCAATCGACACTGTCTATTCATATTCACTTTGTTAGCAACAGACGTAATAGATTTAATTTGTTTGTGCAGGGGCATTTTTATCCAATTTAGTGGCATTTTTGCCCCAAGTCCCCATGGCCAGCCTTCCCCAGCCTTACACACGCTCCGCCTTTGATTAACAGCATAATTTTGGGTTATTTGCCAAAGTATCTCTGTTGTTTTATACAAAGGACTTCAATTGGAAATCATTCATTGCGTTCTCAATCAATTTGCAATCTCTGTATACCTTTTGCTAGAACTGAGCTTGGTAAAACTTCTTTTAAATATGCTGCAGCCTCAAATTGGAATCTTCTTCAAAAGGAGATGAAGTTACACAACTTGGTGTCTTATAATTATTTTAAGTCTTTATTATGTAATCTTGAGAGCAGCTTAATGGTGTGTAATTGTTTTTAACTGATTAAATGTTGGTTTTGTAATGTGTGTTGTAACTACGTTGTTTATTTGTATATGCAAACTCGGCTGCCTATCTTGGCCAGGACACTCCTGGAAAATGAAGATTTTAATCTCAGTGAGTCTCTTCCTGGTTAAATAAATAAATGAAATAATTCAGAATCATAACTTCATAAAATCTTTAATGGTTCTACAAGGTCATGACCTGAATCTCATCATCCAGGAAATCAAACTTTTGTCGCCTTTTGTCGAAATCCACTATTTTGAAAGCAGAGTTGGTCATTACAGATCTCTGTGCAGTGTGCACTAGAACAGTGTTTCCCAACCTTTTTTTAGTCGCGGCACCCTTTGGAAATTTTAACAAACTTGTGGCACCCTACAAAATTAATTGTCACAATATTTGAATTTCTAACTTCGATATACTTTGAAAAGTATAGATATTCGGTACAACAGCGAAGAACTGCAGAATATAATGTCATACAGATATTTTTTATATTATTAAAAAATGTTGTCCATCAATGGTGGCAATCAGTAGGCTAATTTCTAATGAAGAGACCAATTTATATGACAGATTTTAATGTAGGCTTTGTAAACATTATTTAATTACCATTATAACTAGCTATCGCACAAATTTTTTTATTTATACAACTGTACAGTAATTAATGCAAAATCTGTTCATAAATCTTCTGTTCCAGATTTTATCGTATTATTATAATTTTTTCTTTAGTCTTATTTAATTGTCCTTTCTGTTCTCATGTCATATATGTGTGTATGTACAGGTGCATCTCAATAAATTAGAATGTCATGGAAAAGTTCATTTATTTCAGTAATTGGTGAGTTTTTGTTAAATGTGAGCCAAAATCATCACAATTAAAAGAACCAAAGACTTAAACTACTTCAGTCTGTGTGCATTGCATTTATTTAATACACGAGTTTCACAATTTGAGTTGAATTACTGAAATAAATGAACTTTTCCACGACATTCTAATTTATTGAGATGCACCTGTATGTACCAAGAGCTCCTAAAAAACCAAAACAAATTCCTTGTGTGTTTGCTAATTCTGATTCTGATTCTGATCTTTGTTGATGTGCGAACAGCTTTTTTTCCTTGATAAATTTTAGTTTTTTTTTAAGATACAAATAAATATACATAAAAAACATAGCATATAGTCATATATATTTATTTCTTTATTTTTCTGTTAAAATATGCTAATTAAAAACAATAGGACAAATCAAATGGAACAAAGATACAAATTAAATAAGTTTAAAGTTTTAAAATGAAATAAAAGTTTTTCCGGTACAATTGGTTTATTTAACATCTAGTAAGACATGCCACAGAAATGGAATAATTCAATGTAAATAAAACCCTGCATAGTTTTCACTGTATTATTTAAATCTAAATTAAATCTTATTAGCGATCGATACAAAAGTTATTCAGTCAAGAGCAGTGAATGATTTTTTTCTTTATTTTGCTGTTTAATTAACATTAAAATACACAGGCAGCAGCAGGTTTATTAGGCTCCACATGACGGATATCGAGTACATCATGCACATGCTATATTCGAAATTTACATACCGCGATATAGCAAAATCACGATTATATATCATCATACTGCCAACCCTACTTATTAACAAATTGAATCTTGTTTCAAGCAAGTATTCTTGTCACTAATACAGATTATGAAAATAAATTAATTGGGTATGTATATATCTATAATGTTTTCAAAAACAAATTTCTTAACAAAGAAATCAGTTGTTATCCTAGTATGAGCCTGTTTGTCTCTCTAGTACACAAACACAGTTGCTTGTTGTCATGTGACCAGTTTTAAAGGTCTTGTGGTGGACCTTGAGGAGGGCAACCTGATCAAGTTGGCAGAGGACGGTACTGTCTTGCGGTGAGTCAATTTCAGTATGACTTAAAAGTGTGTAAATGATTACTCGGCAGTACATTTTCTATCTCCTTTTTCTGGAAAAAGATTAATTGTACGCAAAGAAATATATCAACTTCTCTTAACCTGGTATATTAAGCTGTTAATCTATTTCAAACGTATTCATTTGTAGAGCAACTCATGGCACTAAAAATCTTAGTACTGATGACATCATAAAGCATTACGGTCCAAAAAGAGAATGGAAGCATTTTAATAGCCTCAATACCTCGTATACACGATCTGGTAAGGCTGTGTTCTTCAAGTTCATGTTATAATTTCTGATGGCCATTTAATACTCACAAGTTTTTTTTAATCTGCTGATTTATTTTTTGTGATGTGGTATTTATTTTTGTACAATTTTATTGTTTACCATTTGATCATATTATCAAATTACTGTCCTTGCTTAAATATGTGATTAAGTGCACTCATTTGTTGCAGCAAAATACTATTTTTATGACAACTATTTTGACCTCCCTGGTGCTCTTCTCTGTGCCAGAGTGGTGGATATGTTGAATAAGGTAAAAATAAATCAATGCTTTTCAAATAAGGTATATTTCTGTTGTAGATCATAAGTAGCATTTGTTAATTAGCTGTAAGGGTGAATGTTTACTTGACAAAACATATGTTGTCACATGTTAACGTTTTCACGTATCATTTTTTTAATCCTAGCGTGGAGCTGAAATCACATCTGACATTTGGAAAGACATTGTTGCTGCCATTGACCATAATTACAACACATCTGCATTTCGGGGTATGTAGAACCCTCTTATAATTCGTATACACTGTTTATGACCAGCATTTCAAAGTGTATTTTAATTCTGATATTATATAATGGCTGTAAAAATCCAATGATTTTTTTATCAAACTGGGACAGATCACAGTCTTTGACCTATCTACATAATATTTTGAATGTTTATTATTAGTTAGCCTAAGATGATTACTAAGTTTGAAGTCAGGGTAAGATATCTTTCAGGATGAAAAAGTAAAGGTCTTTGTACTGAGCACTTCCCTTTGGAAAATATTAACCTTTTACCACAGTCATAAACAAACAGCAGCACTGGCACTAAAACTTTATTTGTGTTGGTTATTATAATGCACACCTTGTGAGATATTACAGAGTTAAATGAACAAAAAAAACGTACAATTATTATTATTATTATTATTCACTTTGAAATCCATTTATTTCAAAACCTGGCTTACTTAATGTCACTTCTAAGCTGACTAAACACAGGAACCTTTTGTTAAAATGTGAGCACAAGAAAAAGGCAAATGCGTAGCACCATTTTAATGCATAACCATCAGTTCAGGTTTTAGGCAAATGCAACAGGTCTGTTGTCTAATTTCTTGGATCATTTTTCTTAGTTTTCCATTATTGAGATTATCAAAATATTTCCATACAAATAGGTCTTATGTAAATCAACAAGCTACAGACATGTTTTCTAAATTAGTCATCCTTTTTCATTCTGCATGACTCTTGGGGCAATGAGAAAATGAGTTTGAAGGCAGACCATTTTTGAAATAGAAAGATTGAGGTTTTCTCAAGTGTTTTTATCACGTTGAGGCAATCAAAAAGCCAGAGAAAGAACAGTGAACATTATCATCAGCATAAATGCCACTGGACTCGTCATCTGGAACCTGGATGTACACTGTGTCATGGGATTGCAGCATGAGGACAGTACTGCCAGACATCTGGTCAAGGAAACCTTTGTTGTACTCATCATAAGAGAACAGGACTGGATCTCTGTTTTTGTAAAGTGCTACCAATGCATTTGCTCCATTGACATGCATATGGAAAGAAAAGTAGTAAAGTCCTGGAACCTGACAGGTGAATATGCCAGTGTTAGGATCATAGTGGTTCTCTCCGTTGTAAACAATCTGGTTGAATACAATTGGTGTTCCAGCATTAGGATAAGCTGTGGTAAGAAGAGCTGTGAATGCTGACATGGGTGCCTTCATCAGCTCGTGACTAACAGGCATTACCATCTCATGGGATTTAATTGGCATGCTTTTTTCGTGGTGATAAACAATCTCGCCTGGGGGTCCAGGTGGCCCAGGAGGTCCTGATTGACCTGGGAGACCATCGTGACCTCTGGCACCAGGATTTCCAGGAGGACCCTGAGGTCCAGAAATTCCCTTGGCTGTGAGCCCTGCTGGGCCAGGGGGGCCTGGAAGTCCTGGATGACCCTTAAGCCCTGATGGACCAGCAGATCCTACTGGGCCTGTTGGTCCTCTTGCTCCAGGGATGCCATTTTCACCCCTTGCACCTGATGGCCCTTGAAATCCTGGATGTCCCTTTTCTCCTGGTGGCCCCTTGCTACCTGGGATGCCTGGTGCACCGGTAAATCCTGGTTCACCCTTGGGACCCTGATGCCCCATATGACCTATTGGACCTGGTGGACCTGCTACACCTGGAATACCAGATTTTCCTGAGAAGCCTTGTGCACCTTGCTCACCCTTTGCCCCTCTTGAGCCTGGAGCTCCAACCAAACCAATATCACCTTTAGCTCCCTGTGGACCGTGTTCTCCCTGGAATCCCCTTGCACCCTGAGGACCTGATAGACCTACTGGGCCAATAGCACCTGGATGACCTGTATGACCCATTGGCCCTGATTCTCCCTTTTGGCCTGTTGTACCTGAGGTTCCAGACACTCCCCTTTCTCCTGGAAGTCCAGGTGATCCAGGTTTGCCAGTACCTGGCAGACCTGGAGCGCCCGGCTGTCCTGCTGGTCCTTGAGGACCTTTTTGTCCCATTGACCCAGGCATACCTGGAGCGCCATTCTGGCCTGGTTTTCCTGGTGCTCCTAATCCAGGTGCCCCTGTATGACCCTTTGGGCCTGGTATGCCCATAGGACCTGGTGACCCATCCCTACCTGGCATTCCTGGCTTTCCAGGCTCTCCAGGAAATCCACTTGGTCCAGGTTTTCCAATTCCAGGCTGACCTGGCTGACCAGGATGCCCCTGAGGGCCCATTGAACCTGGGCCACCAGGTGCTCCTGGGATGCCGTGGCCAGGTTCTCCTTTCTGGCCTGGCAGTCCAGAAATTCCAGGATGACCCTTTAGGCCAGGTTCTCCACGTGGGCCCATTGCTCCTGGAAAACCGTGTGGTCCAGACTTTCCAGGAGAAGAAATGCCAGCAGGTCCAGGGCTTCCAGGTGATCCTGGCGCTCCTCTTGCACCTTGAGGTCCTACAGGCCCTGGATGTCCCTTCTCGCCTGGAAATCCAGGTGTGCCTGGTTTTCCAGGTGAACCTGGGCTTCCAGATTTACCTGGTGAGGAGTAGCCTGCTGGACCTGGTGGTCCAGGTGGACCAATTGAACCAGGGTGTCCAACTCCATTCTTTCCAGCAATTCCTGGTGGGCCAGGTAGGCCGGGGGGGCCTGGGGCACCTGGAATACCAGGTTCACCAGCAACCACTAAAAATAAGATAAAAATGTAATGCAATTTAGACAAAATCTGACATTACTTAAATTAAAAATATAAATTAAAATTCTTAAATCGCTTGTAAGACATTCCTTAACATACACACTTGACTCAATAACATGGTGATAATTTAAATCTCTGAAAACTGACAAGCTAAAATTTCATGCTTGACGTTCTTAATAAGAGATCGATCAGTTGGTCCGTTTTCTGTCAGATGGTAAATTTTTTCATCTCACTGGTGATTTAGTCACGTGTAGACAAAAAAGAAATATATTAGAATAAAGAAACGCATTGGAATAACATTTATTTTAAATGGCCTTGTGTGTGTGTGTGTGTGTGTGTGTGTGTGTGTGTACAGGTTTGTAAAATGTCCTCACTATTCAAAAATGCTCTCACTAATATAGTGAAACCTGCTGAACACCGACTAGTAAGCTGAACCGCACTAGTTAAAAGGGCTTATAACTCAGCCAAATAATGTTACTATTTAAATATCTAGTGTTTTGCACAAATTTCTGTGAGGGTTGTTTTTAGGGGCAGGTGTAGAGTTAGGTGATAGAAAATATTAACCTGATATAAAAACAATGGAAGTCTTCTGAGATTATATTAGTCCTCACTAATATAGGGAAAAAGTGTGTGTTATAATGTTTATAAGTTGTTATACCCTTTGGTTAGACAGTAATTGACAAGAGACATCCTAAACTAGAAGTGATACTGTGGTCAGCAGCTGCTTGTTCTTGAGCTGAACGTTAACCTTTAAATGAGTTCTATGTATGTGTATTATGATGATTATTATTATAAAATCACCTGCACAATTATATTTTAGAATGAAATATGCTGTTTAATTAATTATATGTATTCATAGGGGCTGGATTGGATTGTTGACCACCATAGAAAACACAGGGAATATCCCTTTTTTCAGTTTGAAAGAGTGCTTGTCCAGAAACTAATGGTATAATTTAACACCGCAATGTGGCTTAGTTTGGGCACGCCTGTTGTATAATGTGGTTACATCTGTTTTGGAGATTTTACAATTTTCTAAAGTAGTAGATCGTATATTCTGTGGTGTATACCAACTGAAGAGTAATAAATTAACAGTATTTGTAATTATGTAAGGACACAAACACTATTTCTTCCTTTGGTAAAGTTAATATATTCTGGGCATTGCATGCAGTTTGGCAATTAAAGAAGAGTTGGATAAAGTGATGTTTGATATATTTCTTGAATGTAGATCCCGATCATAGATCCAGATTTGTGTACATGCAAATGATCTGAGCAACTGAGATACCCTCGTGGCAAAGAGGCTAAAATAATTTTTCAGTCTATGTATGCATGTATCTTTTTGGCAAGGCAATCTGCCCTAGTGTAGTGTCTCTTAATGTTGCACCTGCTACTGTTATTCTGCATAAATATTCTGACGTATTCCACATGACAGAACATTACAGTGATGAATTACATTAGGTATATATATACACCAAAATTAAACTCACTGTGAGATTTTGTAGGATAAGACTGTTTCTTCACATGATAGTATCTGTCAGGGGTGGCCTCAGCCAGTACCACAAGAAGAAGAAGAATGCTTGTTACTCTCAGGTCCATTTTCTGCAGCTAAGCCTGTAAAGAAATTATGAAATAAAAACAATAATGAATAAGTGACAAAGAAATTAGAGGACAAACATCTCCCTCTCATAACACTTAAAAATGGGTATTATTAACAAGAGTGCAATTTCAATATATCCAATCATGCTGCATAAAATCAACATAAAATCCAAATTAAAAAAAAAAAAATCAGATGCATGTCTAATCACACAGAAAGCCTCCCCTTTCAAATTGCATACGTAATAAACATGGCCCAGGAACTCACTGACACACATACAAAGGAGCATCTAAAAGATCATCTTCTCCCACCCGTTCCAGCAGTACCACATGCTTCCCCACCAGCATTAAGCTGGAGCAGAGGGCCATAGAACAGCTGTACCCACCAGCAGGCTGGAGCTCCAGAAGTCAGAGGTGGTTGGGCTGCTGTCCTGGCCAATCTGTATATTTGTAAGTTTCCAGTCAGACCGTGGAAGTCCTGTTCACAGGAGTGGATCCTGCTATTTATACCAAATTTGCTTCTCCAGCAGCACCCAAAATCTCCCTCCCTCCTTGTGTGATGTCAGTTTTAATGAAGGGTATGGTGCCCCATGTGAGTGCATGGCAGTTCTGCATAATATGGTAGTTCCTATCATTTTGATCTGTGGTCATGCTTTCTTTTGATCCTTACAGACAATAATTATAATCAAAATAAAATAAAAAATAGGATGTTGACTAGGGCTGGGTGAAATAGCTAAA